CTCTCCGCCTGTCCTTCTCTTCCTTTTTGGAAACAGACGGTGAATCCTCCCACCAAAAGCCCTCCTCCGCTGTGATTGGTCACCTCTCAGCCAAGGGGAGGGCTGTTTCTCGGACTCCAAGCAAGGCGGGGACAGCAGGCGTGCTCGGTACATGGAAGCGTGGTGCACATATGTGGGCAAGGGAGAGCATGTGAGGCCGAAGGGAGGCACACACTAGTGAATCCCTTCAAGACATGGGAGTTCTGTGTGCCAAGTTTGGTTCAATTCCATCGTTGGTGGAGTTTAGGATGCTCTTTGATTGTAGGTGAACTATACATCCCAGCAACCACAACTCCCAAATGACAAAAGCAATTCCCTTCAACCCCAATTTGGGCGTATTGGGTGTTTGTGCCAAATTTGGTCCAGTGAATGAAAATACATCCTGCAGACCAGATATTTACATTACGATTCATAACAGGAGCAAAAGTAAAATTACTAAGTCGGTAAAGGTTTCCCTTTAGCCATACAGCCCGGAAAACTGTCAGCAACCAGTTGCTATTATTATTATTATTATTATTACTATATTATTACATTAATATATTACATTACATTACATTGTAATATAATTGACTGGTTGCCCTGACACAACAAATAAATAAATAAATAACATTAATATATTATATTATTACTATTATTATATTCTATTATTACTATATTATTACATTATTATATTATAGTATATTATTACTATATTATTACATTAATATGTTATATTACTACTATTATTATTATATTATTACATTATTATAGTATATTATTACTATTATTATATTATTATTATATTATAGTATATTATTACTATATTATTATATTACTATTATTTTATTTTATTATATTATAATTATATTATATTTTTACTATTATTATTACTATTATTATTATATTACTAAATTATTACATTAATATATTATATTATTACTATTCTACTATTATTATTATTACTGTTATATTACTATATTACATTAATGCTATTATTATTATTACTATTAATATTATTATTAATGCTATTATTATTATATTACTATATTATTACATTAATATATTATATTATTACTGTTATTCCTATTATTATTATTGCTATTATTATATTACTATATTATTACATTAATATATTATATTATTACTGTTATTATTACTATTATTATTGCTATTATATTAATATATTAATATATAATAATATATATTATTAATATATATTAATATATATTAATATATATTATTATATATATTATTAATATATATTAATATATATTATTATATTAATATATTAATATATGCTGGGGAAAGTGGAAGGCAAAAGGAAGAGGGGCCGACCAAGGGCAAGATGGATGGATGGCATCCTTGAAGTGACTGGACTGACCTTGAGGGAGCTGGGGGTGGTAACAGCCGACAGGGAGCTCTGGCGTGGGCTGGTCCATGAGGTCACGAAGAGTCGGAGACGACTGAACGAATGAACAACAACATTAATATATTATTACATTAATATATTATTACTATCATTATTATTATTATTATTGCTACTATTACTATATTACTATATTATTACATTAATATATTATATTATTACTGTCATTATTACTATTATTATTATTGCTATCATTACTATATTACTATATTAGTACATTAATATATTATATTATTACTATTATTTTTGCTATTATTATATTACTATATTATTACATTAATATATTATATTTTTACTATTATTATTGCTATTATTATTATATTACTATATTATTACATTAATATATTATATTATTGCTATTATTATTACTACTACTACTATTATTAATAATAATAATAATATTCCCTCCCTGCCTCCCTCCCAACCCTTCCCTTCCTTTCCAGAGATGTTTTTCTCCATGGCGCCCATGACCAGCAGCGTGACCTCCGTGCGCTCCGTCAGCGAACTCTCCGACATTGACCTCGAGTCCTCCACCCACAGCGACGTCAGCGCCACCCATCTGCCCGCTCCGGCCTTTGCGCCAGGGGTGAGATCACCCTCAGTATATTTCTTTGTTCCTAAATCATTTTTATTAAGTACCAAATAGGATGATTTGTGAGTAGATAATAGGCAGCTTCAAATTCTGCAGCACTGCTGGTCACAGCTGACCTCCAGTTAGAGCGCTCAAGGGCCAGGGCTTCCCAGTTCTCAGTGTCTATGCCAGAGTTGTTAAGGTTGGCTTGGTTACCCAGGGTTCCTTGAAAAAGTCGATTTTTAGTTGTCTAAAATGCCCTTGGGTGGTAGGCAGTGTGGCATTGGTGGAGGACGTTGGCAGGGCTCTTAGACATGTTGACACTGGGATGTCTGTGGTGGAGGAAACACATGCAATCTAGGATGAAATGGTCCCTGAATGAAAGCCTTCCCTTGGTTGGTGGGCAGTGTGGTGTTGGTGGAGGGCGTTGGCAGGGCTCTTGGACAGGTTGACACTGGGATGTCTGTGGTGGGGGAAACACATGCAATCTAGGAAGGATTTGTCCCCATATGAAAGCCTTCTCTTGGGTGGTGAGCAGTGTGGTGTTGGTGGAGGGCGTTGGCAGGGCTCTTGGACAGGTTGACACTGGGATGTCTGTGGTGGGGGAAACACATGTAATCTAGGAAGGATTTGTCCCCATATGAAAGCCTTCTCTTGGGTGGTGAGCAGTGTGGTGTTAGTGGAGGACATTGGCAGGGATCTTGGACATGTTTACACTGGGATGTCTATGGTGGAGGAAGCACATGCAATCTAGGAGGGAATTTTTTCCGTACGAAAGCCTTCCCTTGAGTGGTGGGCAGTGTGACGTTGGTGGAGGACATTGGCAGGGCTCTTGAACATGTTTGCACTGGGATGTCTGTGGTGGAGGAAACACATGCAATCTAGGAGGGAATTGCCCCCGTATGAAAGCCTTCTCTTGGGTGGTGGGCAGTGTGGCGTTGGTGGAGGGCATTGGCAGGGCTCTTGGACATGTTTACACTGGGATGTCTGTGGTGGAGGAAACACATACAATCTAGGAGATAATTGTTTCGATATGAAAGCCTTCGCTTGAGTGTTGAGCAGTGTGGTGTTGGTGGAGGACGTCGCCTTCCCTTGGGTGGTGGGCAGTGTGGTGTTGGTGGAAGGCATTGGCAGGGCTCTTGGACATGTTTGCACTGGGATGTCTGTGGTGGAGGAAACACATGCAATCTAGGAGGGAATTGTCCCCATATGAAAGCCTTCCCTTGAGTGGTGGGCAGTGTGACGTTGGTGGAGGGCATTGGCAGGGCTCTTGGACATGTTTACACTGGGATGTCTGTGGTGGAGGAAATGCATACAATCTAGGAGAGAATTGTCCCCGTATGAAAGCCTTCTCTTGGGTGGTGGGCAGTGTGGCATTGGTGGAGGGCATTGGCAGGGCTTTTGGACATGTTTACACTGGGATGTCTGTGGTGGGGGAAACACGTGCAATCTAGGAGGGAATTGTCCTCATATTGGGTGGTGGGCACTGTGGCATTGGTGGAGGACATTGGCAGGGCTCTTGGGCATGTTGACACTGGGATGTTTGTGGTGGAGGAAACACATACAAACTAGGACGGACATGGGTGTCTCCTTAGTAGTGGGAGCTATAGCCTTTTGACACTGCGCTCATTTTTGAAGTTGGGGAAGGAATGGGATGTGGAACATTTTCGTCCGTAATGTTGTTGTTGTTGTTGTTGTTGTTTTCCTGAACTCCACTCTCTCTCTTTTCCTTCTCCTCCGCAGTTCATCCTGAGCAGCCCCCGGCGTTACGGTCACTCTCCCTTCGCTGCCACCCTTCCGCGCCTCGGCAAAATGCACAGTAAGCATCAATTTCCACCACCTTCCAGAAGCGGGTAGGCCACGATATGGCAACCCTGCCACTGAGCAAATGGGCATTGTAACAACCACAACAACAACAACAATTTAGTTTTGTCGAAGGCTTTTATGGCTAGAACCACTGGGTTGTTGTGAGTTTTTCGGGCGATATAGTCATGCTCCAGCAGCATTCTCTCCAAACATTTCACCTCCATCTGTTGCTGACATCTTCAGAGGTTCTGTTGACAATGAAGCAAGTGGAGTGTACATATCCCTGTGGAATGATGTCCAGGGTGTTTTCTGTACAACCTCATCTCCTTGGTGGCCTCTTTTCTCTTTGCCAGGTAAGGCCAGCCACCCGCCGCCCCCGCCCTTGGAAAGCCAGCACCCGGAGCTGCTCCTGCGGGTCACGGTGGGGGGCCTGACCCTGACACTGCTGCACCAGGACCCCAAGCCCGTGGCCCCCAACCCAGGCCCCCGCCTCCTGGCCCAGCGCTTCTTCTCCCACTTGGGGGCCCTCAAGGACTCGGCCTTCGGGGGGCGGGACTTCCGCCCCTTGCGCCAATGCTTTGAAGGGGCCTGTCCCCACAGCAACGTCAGGTAAGGGGCCGAGGACGCAGGAACCTTGATGCAGAGGTGGTGGGAATGGGGTAATGTCAAATAACGAGGGTTGAATGAAAAGTAATGCCTCCACCTTGGTAACTCCTCAACAGATGGCAGTACTGGTATGCGGCAGGTACTGGCTTGTTCAGTAGACTCTCCTCTACAGTTCCATTCTAGCAGGAAGCCTTAGCATTGAACGGTTGTGTTGTTAAAGTGAAAAGTAATGCCTCCACCTTGGTAACTCCTCAAGAGATGGCAGTACTGGTATGCAGCAGGTGCTGGCTTGTTCAGTAGACTCTCCTCTACAGTTCCATTCTAGCAGGAAGCCTTAGCATTGAACGGTTGTGTTGTTAAAGTGAAAAGTAATGCCTCCACCTTGGTAACTCCTCAAGAGATGGCAGTACTGGTATGCAGCAGGTGCTGGCTTGTTCAGTAGACTCTCATCTCCAGTTCCATTTTGGCGGGAAGCCTTAGCATTGAACGGTTGTGTTGTTAAAGTGCAAAGTATGGAACCCTGCGCAAACGGTCAATGCGACTTAAGCAATGTATGTGGCAGGTACTGGCTTGTTCAGTAGACTCTCATCTGCAGTTCCATTTTGGCGGGAAGCCTTAGCATTGAGCGGTTGTGTTGTTAAAGTGCAAAGTATGGGACCCAACGCAGACGGTCAGTCAATGACAGCAGAAGGAGTCACCCCAAAGGAGATTCCTCAGAGAATGCAAGCTGTCTATGGTGATTGTTTTGATGGGAGTACCGTGCGTCGCTGGGTGAGTAAGTTTAAAGATGTTGAGGTGGGAACAGCTGACTTGCATGACAAACAAAGAGTTGGATGTCCTGTGACAGCAACCACCGAGTTTCACAAGCAAAAGGTTGACAGATTGATTTAGGACGATCGTCATATCACTCAGAGAGAAATTTCAAGCATAATCGGCATTTCATAAGAACGCGTGGTTCACATTATTGCTTTGCTTGGCTATCGGAAGATCTGTGCACGATGGGTACCCAGGATGAGAGAACTGGGAGACACTGGTTGCGGAAACAAGAGTGTCGACTTCTTCTGTGACGGCTTCAGAAAACTTGTTCATCGTTGGCAGAAATGTATCCGATTGTCTGGTGATTATGTGGAAAAGCTAATAGTGGTTGAGAGAATTGTGAGATGCTGGTTGCGGAAACAGAGTGTCGACTTCTTCGGCGACGGCTTCAGAAAACTTGTTTATAGTTGGCAGAAATGTATCCGATCGTCTGGTGATTATGTGGAAAAGCGAATAGTGGTTGAGAGAACTGGGAGACACTGGTTGCGGAAACAGAGTGTCGACTTCTTCCGCGACGGCTTCAGAAAACTTGTTCATCGTTGGCAGAAATGTATCCGATTGTCTGGCGATTATGTCAACAAGCAAATAGTGATTGAGATAACTGTGAGACACTGGTTGTGGAAACAGAGTGTCGACTTCTTTCGTGACGGCTTCAGAAAACTTGTTCATCATTGGTAGAAATGTATCCGATTGTCTGGTGATTATGTGGAAAAGCGAATAGTGGTTGAGAGATTCCTCAGAGAATGCAAGCTGTTTATGGTGATTGTGTTGATGTGAGTACTGTGTGTCGCTGGGCAAGTAAGTTTAAAGATGTTGAGGTGGGAACATCTCACTTGCGTGACAAACAAAGAGTTGGACGTCCTGTGACAGCAACCACTGAGTTTCACAAGCAAAAGGTTGACAGATTGATTCAGGACAATCGTTGTATCACTCAGAAATTTCAAGCATAATCGGCATCTCACAAGAACGTGTGGGTCACATTATTGCTTTGCTTGGCTATCGGAAGATCTGTGCACGATGGGTACCCAGGATGAGAGAACTGGGAGACACTGGTTGCGGAAACAGAGTGTCAACTTCTTCTGCAACGGCTTCAGAAAACGTGTTCATCATTGGCAGAAATGTATCCAATTGTTTGGTGATTATTTCGAACAAGCGAATAGTGATTGAGAGAACTGTGAGACGCTGGTTGCAGAAACAGAGTGTCGACTTCTTCTGCAACGGCTTCAGAAAACTTGTTCATCGTTGGCAGAAATGTATCCGATTGTCTGGTGATTATCTCGAAAAGTCGTACAACACTTAGGTAAAAAATAATTGTTTTCCATGAATCCACGTGAATGTAGGGCTATGTTTCTGATTGTTCCTTCTTTTGTGTTCCATTCTCGTACTCGGAAGCCGCCCTGCCCTGGGTTGAGGCTCTCTTCTCTCTCTCTTTCCCAGGCTCACGGGGGCCGCCGTGCAACTCAGCTGCGAGCACAAATCCTCCGGCCAGATGCACATGCTCACTTGGGACGCCACTTTTGGGCTGCTGGAGGTCTTGGAGTGCCTTTGGCCGGACGACGGCGGGGGGAGAGCCAAACCGGAGTACACCGAGGTGAGGGTCGGTGGCGGGAATTCCTTTCTAGATCCTTTGCTGCTTTCTAGATCTGGCCACTGGGGGAGCTGTTGCTTCACCGTCCACTTGTGACACCGATGGAGTATTTCCTCATTCTTTTGCACGCTGCTGGAGATTTTTTTCCCCTAACTCCTGAAGATGCCTGCAAGGGGGGAAAGGAAGGGAGCGTTTTCCTAAGCAAGCATTAACATGTCTTTTTTTCGCCCCCTCTAGTTGTTGGTCTTTGCCACCCCCAGTGCCTTCCCCTATAGCCATTCGCCTCAACCCTGTGCCCGCATTCGCTCCAAGCACTCGCAGAAGGTGCCATCTTCCAAGGTTCGTTGGGTTTACTTACCATATTTGAGGACTTTGGCCTGTTATTACTATCGTGGACATTGCCAGGTTTATTTGAAAAAGCCAAATTTTAATTGTACACATTTTATTTATTTATTTACAGTATTTATATACCCCTTTTTTTGGCCCTAGGGGGACTCATAGCGGCTTACGATATATATATATATATATATATATATATATATATATATATATATATATATATACATACACATACATACATACATACATACAATATATTATATTATTAGCATAGCACAATATCAGTATTATATATTACCATACTCTACTATACCATTATATTGTAATATATTATATTATTATTATATTATAATAATATATAATATTACATTATATAATATTACAATATTACTATATTGTACTATACTGTTATATTGTAATATACTATATTATTATTATTATATAATATTATATGATTTTATTAGCATAGTACAATATCACTATGATATATTACTATATTGTACTATACTGTTATATTGTAATATATTATATAATAATTATTATATTATACGATATTATTAGCATAGTACAATATTGCTATGATATATTACTATATTTACCATTATATTGTACTATATTATATTATTATATTATTATAATAATATAATAATGTATTATATTATTAGCATAGTACAATATCAGTATTATATATTACTATATTATACTGTACCATTATATTATATTATATTATATTATTAGCATAGGACAATATTGCTATGATATATTACTATATTGTACTATACCAGTAAATACAATATATTATTATTATTATATAATATAATATTATTAACACAGTACAATATCAGTATTATATATTACTCTATTGTACTATACCATTATACTGTAATATATTATATTATTATATAATGATAATATAATATTATATGATTTTATTAGCATAGTACAATATCACTATGATATATTACTATATTGTTTTATACCATTATATTGTAATATTACATGTAATATAAAATATATAATTATAATATTGTATTATTATTAGTAGTATATTGTATTACATTATAATATTGTAAACATTTTATGTATATTCATTATATTATATTGTTAGCATAGTACAATATCAGTATTATATATTCCTGTATTGTACTATAACATTATATTGTAATATTATTAATAATATTACATGTAATATATAATATATAATTATAATATATAATTATTAATAGTATTATATTGCATTACATTATAATAATATAAATATTGTATGTATATTCATTATATTATATTATTTTATTAGCATAGTACAATATCAGTATTATATATTACTATGTTTTACTATGCCATGATATTGTAATATTACATGTAATACAAAATATATAATTGTAATATTTTATTATTAGTAGTAGTAGGATTATATTATATTACATAATAATATTATAAATATTGTATGTATATTCATTATATTATATTATTAGCATAGAGTAATATCAGTATTATGTATTACTATGTTTTACTATGCCATGATATTGTAATATTATTAGTAGTATTATTATATTATATTACATTATAATATTATAAATATTGTATGTACATTCATTATATTATTAGCATAGTACAATATCAGTATTATATATTACTATGTTATACCATACCATTGTATTGTAATATTACATGTATTATATTATATTATTAGCATAGTAGAATATCAGTATTATATATTACTATATCGTACTAAACCATTATATTGTAATATTACATGTAATATAAAATATATAATTATAATATTGTATTATTATTAGTAGTATTATATTATATTACATTATAATATTATAAATATATCATATCTTAATTGGGGGGGGGGGGGAGAATAATAACACTAAAATATTGGCAAAGAGTAAGCTTCCTGTGGTTGGGAATGTCCCCGCAGAGTCGTCTTGTCAAGGCAGCAGCCAAACAAACGGTGGAGTTGGAGGCCGAGTTGGCGGAGTTCGGCTCCGACGTGGACCTGGCAACGCTGGACCGGCTCTGCTCCCTGTTGCAGTGTGCCACGGCACCCTCCTCGCCCTCCTGGCTGCCTCCTCGGCCGCACTTGGTAAGCCGGGCACATCATGCGCCAGTGCGCCGTATCCCTTTGGCGGCCAATGTATGACCGAGTCTATCTTGTAGGAATATTTGGTTGTCTACATCAGAGTAGAGTAGATACCCAAACAAGGGATGAGCTGGAGATGTCTCTGCCTTGGTCCTTTCACTATTGGCTGCCACTTCCCGGCGGATGTCAGGTGGCGCAATACCGGCTAAGCAGTGTAATGTCTCCAGTGGTGTAGGGCGCAGACACCCTGTGATAATGCGGCATGTCTCATTAAGAGCCACATCCACTGTTTTAGCGTGGTGAGATGTGTTCCACACTGGGTATGCATACTCAGAGCAGAGTAGCATAGCACAAGGGCAGATGTCTTCACTGTGTCTGGTTGTGATCCCCAGGTTGTGCCAGTCAGCTTTCGTATGATATTGTTTCTAGCACCCACTTTTTGCTTGATGTTCAGGCAGTGCTTCTTGTAGGTCAGAGCACGGTCCAGGGTGACTGCCAGGGATTCGGGTGCGCTGCAATGCTCCAGTGGGATTCCTTCCTTCCCAGCTCGGGATGCTTGTCTGTTCTTAAGGTGAAAGGCACATGTCTGTGTTTTAGATGGGTTAGGGATCACTTGGTTTTCCCTGTAATAGGCAGTAAGGACACCTAGAGCTTCGGAGAGCTTCTGTTCTAACATCTCAAAGCTCCCAGCTTGAGGTGTGATGGCACGATCATCAGCATACATGAAGCTCTCTGTCCCTTCTGGCAGTGGTTGGTCATTTGTGTCGATGTTGAACATGGATGGAGCAAGCACGCTCCCCAGAGGCAGGCCGTTCTTCTGCTTCTCTGGCCCTGGAACTCAACAAAAAAGCTCCTGTTCTGTAGCTGATTTCCTTGAGTGGTGATGGCACAATCGTCAGCATAGATGAAACCCTTTGTCCCTCATCGCTGGTCATTTGTGTAGATGTTGAACATGGATGGAGCAAGCACGCTCCCCTGAGGCAGGCCGTTCTTCTGTTTCCGCCATCTGCTTCTCTGGCCCTGGAACTCAACAAAAAAGCTCCTGTTTTGTAGCAGGTTTCCTATGAGATGGGTGAGGTGGTCGTCCTTTGTGATACTATACATTTTTCTCAGGAGGAGGCGGTCTCATAAGCCACTGACAGGTCTATGAAGACAGCTCCTGTGATCTGCTGCCTTTCAAAGCCATCTTCTATGTGCTTAGTCAGGTTCAGCACTTGCGATGTGCAGCTTCTGCCTTTCCACTAATATCCCCTCATTAGTAACCTAGCTAATGAGGGGATATAAGTCTCAAGTTTGGGATGTGTAGTCAGATGAAGCATCGTTTAGAATCATGCTTTTACTTACTTACTTATTTATTTACAGTATTTGTATGCCGCTTTTCTCACCCCGAAGGGGACTCGGAGCGGCTTACAAGGTATATATTACATACAATATATTATTAACATAGTACAGTATCAGTTTTAAATATTGCTATATTGCACTATATCAATTATACTGTAATATTATTAGTAATATTACATGTAATATAAATATATAATTATAATATCATATTATTATTAGTAGTATTGTACTGGTTTACACATAAATCATGGCAAAAATTCAATGCCAGTACAAACAATTACAATTATACACTACAATTAGACGTAAATCAAATTTAAAAAATACATCCATGAGCAATAAAACAATCAGTAAAACAATAAAACAGTCTCCTCCGTCGAATCGCCGTTCCAGTCATTGTCTTTCCGAAATGCTGCACACATTTACTTCTACTGCCCGAAGGCCTAGTCCCAAAACTATGATTTTAATTTTTTTTCCTCAAAGTCAGGAGGGAGGGAGCTGATCTCACCCCATTTGGGAGTGTGTTCCATAGGCGGGGGGCCACAGCCGAGAAGGCCCTGTCTCTCGTCCCCGCCAGGCGCATCTGTGCTGTTGACGGGAGCGAGAGCAGGGCCTCCCCGGATGATCGTAGCTTACGAGGTGAGACGTTTCATGGAAGCTTTGCTTCCTTGTTTCATGGAAGCTCTGCTTTGAAGGTTCATGTTAAGATATTTCTTGTATCATGGTTTTTGGATTCCTGGATTCCTTGATTGCTCATCCAACCCTTGGATCACTGTATTCCTGATTTTCTGGATTATATTCAAGAAGTGTGGACTTTGCTTTATGGACTTTGCTGAACTCTATCTTGGATGAATTTGCTCCTGCTTATCTTCTTACCTAATTGGATTTGCTTATTCCTTTTAAGTGCTTTTTACTTAGATGCTTTTTACTTACCTTCAATAAAAGGATGGTTTCAGGATCAGGGTATCAATGAGATTCAAGATGAGCTTCAAGATGGCTGAACTCTACCTTGGATGAATTTACTCCTGCTTATCTTCTTACCTAGTTGGATTTACCTATTCCTTTTAAGTGCTTTCTACTTAGATGCTTTTTACTTACCTTCAATAAAAGGATGGTTTCAGGATCAGGGTGTCAATGAGATTCAAGATGAGTTTCAAGATGGCTGAACTCTACCTTGGATTAATTTGCTCCTGCTTATCTTCTTACCTGATAAAAGGATTTACCTATTCCTTTTAAGTGCTTTTTACTTAGATGCTTTTTACTTACCTTCAATAAAAGGATGGTTTCAGGATCAGGGTATCAATGAGATTCAAGATGAGTTTCAAGATGGTTGAACTCTACCTTGGATGAATTTGCTCCTGCTTATCTTCTTACCTAATTGGATTTACCTATTCCTTTGAAGTGCTTTTTTACTTAGATGCTTTTACTTATCTTCAATAAAAGGAATTTTTTTCTTATTTTTTTAAAGTCAGAGGGTTTTTCCTGTCCCGGAGTGCAACAGTTAGACATGATGTCATGGGTTCCTGGTCAGGCTTAAATTAAATGGTTTGGCTTTGGGATTCAGTCTCCTGTTCATGTTACCAAGTTCCTGTATTGTTAAGTTCCTTGTATAATCTCAGTGTCTCCGTGTTAGGGTGCAACACAGGGTTCTCTCCATCCTTAATTGCTTCATCTACAAGTGTTGGTGTGTCTTACAACATCCCTTCTTTCCTTTTCTTCTCCTTCTTTCTGGACGCCAGGCAGATTCTCCCCCGGCCGGCAACTGGCAGGCCAGCCTCCGCTTGTCCGCACCGAAAGCCGCCCTCCGGCTCCAGTTCCCCATCCCGGACCTGCGGCCCTGGCCCGAGAGGCGGCCCGAGACCCAGAAGGCCGTGCGCAAGGAGAGCCTTCTCCTGGACCTGACCGCCGTCGAATTCCGCACGGAGCTCGGCCCGTCGGGCGCCACCAAGATGGAGGTTTCCTGCAGCGACTTGCACGGTACAGAGGCGGCTGTGCGGCGCCAAATCCAACCTCACTCGGGCACCACAATTGACCCTGCCATGAGTACTTTTGCCCCACAGACTCCACTACTGGGTTTTATAATACGGTGTTCCGTCGCTTTACGCGGACTCGCTGTTTGCGGGGTTTTTTTGGGGGGTAAATCTTAATATATAAAAAGCTTCTCTGCGTCGTAAGTACGCTAAAAACAAACAAACTATGGGGCCAACTGACATCAAATTTGGCCTCCAAACATCTCATACCGCAAGGAATGACCAACAATTAAAATGAACCTTAAAAATGTGAAAATAGCTTTAAAATCCTTAAAAATAAAAAATACCTTACATACATAACATAGAATCATAGAATCAAAGAGTTGGAAGAGACCTCCTGGGCCATCCAGTCCAACCCCATTCTGCCAAGAAGCAGGAATATTGCATTCAAATCACCCCTGACAGATGGCCATCTAGCCTCTGTTTAAAAAGCTCCAAAGAAGGAGCCTCCACCACACTCCGGGGCAGAGAGTTCCACTGCTGAACGGCTCTCACAGTCAGGAAGTTCTTCCTCATGTTCAGATGGAATCTCCTCTCTTGTAGTTTGAAGCCATTGTCTGCATCCTAGTCTCCAGGGAAGCAGAAAACAAGCTTGCTCCCTCCTCCCTGTGGCTTCCTCTCACATATTTATACATGGTCCTCATCATATCTCCTCTCAGCCTTCTCTTCTTCAGGCTAAACATGCCCAGCTCCTTAAGCCGCTCCTCATAGGGCTTGTTCTCCAGACCCTTGATCTGCTCCCTCCTCCCTGTGGCTTCCTCTCACATATTTATACATGGCTATCATATCTCCTCTCAGCCTTCTCTTCTTCAGGCTAAACATGCCCAGCTCCTTAAGCCGCTCCTCATAGGGCTTGTTCTCCAGACCCTTGATCTGCTCCCTCCTCCCTGTGGCTTCCTCTCACATATTTATACATGGCCCTCATCATATCTCCTCTCAGCCTTCCCTTCTTCAGGCTAAACATGCCCAGCAGCTCCTTAAGCCGCTCCTCATAGGGCTTGTTCTCCAGACCCTTGATCAGCTCCCTCCTCCCTGTGGCTTCCTCTCACATATTTATACATGGCTATCATATCTCCTCTCAGCCTTCTCTTCTTCAGGCTAAACATGCCCAGCTCCTTAAGCCGCTCCTCATAGGGCTTGTTCTCCAGACCCTTGATCATTTAGTCGCCCTCCTCTGGACACATTCCAGCTTGTCAATATCTCTCTTGAATTGTGGTGCCCAGAATTGGACACAATATTCCAGGTGTGGTCTAACCAAAACAGAATAGAGGGGTAGCATAACTTCCCTAGATCTAGACACTATGCTCCTATTGATGCAGGCCAAAATCCCATTGGCTTTTTTTGCCGCCACATCACATTGTGTATATACACACACACACACACACACACACACACACTAGCTGTCCCCTGCCACGCATTGGTGTGGCCCACATGAGTGTTCTGTGTGGGAGGTTTGGCCCAATTCTATCGTTGGTGGGGTTCGGAATGCTCTATGATTGTAGGTGAACTATAAATCCCAGCAACTACAACTCCCAAATGTCAAGATTCTATTTTCCCCAAACTCCACCAGTGTTCACATTTGGGCATATTAAGTATTTGTGTAGAGTTTGGTCGAGAACCATCATTGTTTGAGTCCACAGCGATCTCTGGATGTAAGTGAACTACAACTCCATAAAAGGCAAGGGCCCTACGGACATCGAGCAAGTGCAAATTTCTTTCCAAGGGTGTAGAAGTATTTTGGAAAAAGGAAGGCAAAATTAAATCCTGAGAGATTTGTTGGTCATGGGAGTTCTGTGTGCCAAGTTGGGTTCAATTCCATCCTCGGTGGGGTTCAGTATGCTCTTTGATTGTAGGTGAACTATAAATCCCAGCAACTACAACTCCCAAATGACAACATCAATTTTTTTTTGAGTGAAGGACACACATTGGGTTGTTAGGAGTCTTGTGTCCAAATTTGGTGTCAATTCCCCCAGTGGTTTTTGAGTTCTGTTAATCCCACAAACAAACATTAAGTTTTTATTTATATAGATTATTATTATTATTATTATTTACTTATTGGTTGCTATTGTTTTTTTCAGGTGTGTACGAAGATGGCGAGAAGTTCTTGGTGCCCTGCTTCCGGGTTGGCAAAAGCCCCGATTTGTCAGCCAAAACGACGGGAAAGAAGTACATCATTCCAAAGTAAGCTTGCTTCCCCGGGCTTCCTCTTCCTGCTCCTCTTCTATCACCATTATTTATTTATTTAATTAATTATGACATTTATATGCCCCCCTTCTCGCCCCAAATTCTGTGCACATTCAGAAGAAGACCTACAATGTCTGTTATGGAACTCCAGTATGCCGATGATAACGTAATCTGTGCGCATTGAGAAGACCTACAATGTCTGTTATGGAACTCCAGTATGCCGATGATAACGTAGTTTGTGCGCATTCAGAAGAAGACCTACAATGTCTGTTATGGAACTCCAGTATGCCGATGATAACGTAGTCTGTGGGCAGTCAGAAGAAGAGCTACAATGTCTGTTATGGAACTCCAGTATGCCGATGATAACGTAGTTTGTGCGCATTCAGAAGAAGACCTACAATGTCTGTTATGGAACTCCAGTATGCCGATGATAACGTAGTTTGTGCGCATTCAGAAGAAGACCTACAATGTCTGTTATGGAACTCCAGTATGCCGATGATAACGTAGTTTGTGCGCATTCAGAAGAAGACCTACAATGTCTGTTATGGAACTCCAGTATGCCGATGATAACGTAGTTTGTGCGCATTCAGAAGAAGACCTACAATGTCTGTTATGGAACTCCAGTATGCCGATGATAACGTAGTTTGTGCGCATTCAGAAGAAGACCTACAATGTCTGTTATGGAACTCCAGTATGCCGATGATAACGTAGTTTGTGCGCATTCAGAAGAAGACCTACAATGTCTGTTATGGAACTCCAGTATGCCGATGATAACGTAATCTGTGCGCATTGAGAAGACCTACAATGTCTGTTACGGAACTCCAAAATGCCGATAATAATGTAGTCTGTGTGCATTCAGAAGAAGACCTACAATGTCTGTTATGGAACTCCAGTATGCCGATGATAACGTAGTCTGTGGGCAGTCAGAAGACTAACAACATCTGTGATAGAACTCTAATATGCTGACGATAACATAGTCTGTGCGCATTCAGAAGAAGACCTACAATGTATGTTATGGAACTCCAATATGCTGATGATAATGTAGTCTGTCTGCATTCAGAATAAGACCTACAATGTCTGTTATAGAACTCCAATATACCGATGATAACATAGTCTGTGCTCATTCAAAAGAAGACCTACAATGTCTGTTATGGAACTCCAATATGTCGATGATAACATAGTCTGTGCGCATTCAGAAGACCTACAATATCTGTTATGGAATTTTCCTAGTTTCCAACAGACCTCACAACCTCTGAGGATGCAGGCGAAACGTCAGGAGAGAATGCTTCTGGAACATGGCCAGACAGCCCGAAAAACTTCCAACAACCCTCCAACAATACATTGTTATATTTATTTATATCCCTGATTTAAATGAATGCTCAGTGGTTCTTCCTTCCAGGATCGCTCTGACCCTCCGCCCCCGGGCCGGCGATGTCCAGTGGGATCCGTCGCTACCAAAGCCCGAGGAGATGGAGCTCTCCTCGGCGGAAAGCCCTTGCGAGCTCAAGCAGCCCGAGCCTTCGCCCTTCTCCTCCAAGCGGACCATGTATGAGACCGAGGAGGTGAGGCAATTCCACACCAATGGAGAGAGTAAGGAACACTGGGGTGCCTGTGGTGGAACATGGCATGCATTTACTTACGTACTGGGAATCGTTTTCAAAAGCAGAGTTGAAAAAACACTATTGAATGCGAGATCTAAAACAGTATTAAACAATTATATACTTAAATGACAAAGGTAAACACTAAAATATGCATTATTCAAACCTTCTAAAACGTTGACAGCATCTCAAGATGTTGCTGCTGCACAAAAGCTCGCAACTGTGGCAGTAATTTTGGGGTTCCGTTCCTGCAGATGGTGATTCCCGGAGATCCCGAAGAGATGGCCGAATTCCAGGCCCAGACCTTGGAGGCCTCCCAGTACGCCCTGGAGGTGTCCTTCCCCACCATGCACCTCTTCCTCCCCAGCAAAGACTTCTACGAGAGCATCTACAACAGGTGAGTTGTAGTTCACCTCCATCCAGAGAGCACTCTGGACTCAAACAATGATGGATCTCTAGACCAAACTTGACACGAATGCTCCATATGCCCAAGTATAAGCACAGATAGAGTTTGGGGAAAACTGACCTTCACATTTGGGAGTTGTAGTTGCTGGGATTTATAGTTCACCTACAATCAAAGAGCATTCTGAGCCCCAACAATGATAGATCTGGACCAAACTTTGCACAGATACTCAATATACCCAAATGTGAACACTGGTGGAGTTTGGGGAAAATAGACCTTGACATTTGGGGGTTGTAGCTGCTGGGATTTATAGTTCACTTGCAGTCAAAGCACATTCTGAACTGGACCAACAATAGAATTGAACCAAACTTGTCACACCGAACTTACACGACTAACAGAAAATACTGGAAGGATTTGGTGGGCATTGACCTTGAGTCTGGGAATTGTAGTTCATCTCCATCCAGAGAGCACTGTGGACTCAAACAATGAAGGATCTAGACCAAACTAGACACGAATACTCCATATGTCCAAATAGAAGCACAGATAGAGTTTGGGGAAAACTGACCTTGACATTTGGGAGTTGTAGTAGCAGGGATTTATAGTTCACCTAAAATCAAAGAGCCCCAACAATGATGGATCTGGACTAAACTTGGCATGGATACTCAATATTCCCAAATGTGAACACTGGTGGAGTTTGGAAGAAATAGACCTTGACATTTGGGAGTTGTAGTAGCAGGGATTTATAGTTCACCTAAAATCAAAGAGCATTCTGAGCCCCAACAGTGATAGATCTGGACCAAATTTGGCATGGATACTCCTTATGCCAAAATATAAGGACAGACAGAGTTTAGGGAAAATCGACCTTGACATTTGGGAGTTGTAGTAGCAGGGATTTATAGTTCACCTAAAATCAACGAGCATTCTGAGCCCCAACAATGATAGATCTGGACCAAACTTTGCACAGTTACTCAATATACCCAAATGTGAACACTGGTGGAGTTTGGGAGAAATAGACCTTGACATTTGGGAGTTGTAGTTGCAGGGATTTATAGTTCATCTACAATCAAAGCGCATTCTGAACCCTACCAATGATAGAATTGAACCAAACTTGGCACACAAAACTCCCATGTGCAACGGAAAGTACTGGAAGGGTTTGATGGGCATTGGCCTTGAGTTTGGGAGTTGTAGCTCGCCTACATCTAGAGAGCACTATGGACTCAAACAATGAAGGATCTAGACCAAACTTGGCACAAATACTCCATATGCCCAAATATAAGCACAGATATAATTTGGGAAAAATCAACCTTGATATTTGGGAGATGTAGTTGCTGGAATATATAGTTCACCTAAAATCAAAGAGCATTCTGAGCCGCAACGATGATGGATCTGGACCAGACTTGGCACGGATACTCAGTATGCCCAAATGTGAACACTGGTGGAGTTTGGGGAAAATAAACCTTTGCCTTTGAAAGTTGTAGTTGTTGGGATTTATAGTTCACCTACAATCAAAGCACATTCTGAACCGTACCCATAATAGAATTGAACTAAACTTGGCACACAAAACTCTCACGACTAACAGAAAATACTGAAAGGTTTTGGTGGGCATTGACCTTGAGTTTGGGAGTTGTAGTTCACCTCCATCCCGAGAGCACTGTGGACTGAAACCATGATGGATCTGGACCACACTTGGCACAAATACTCAATATGCCCAAATGTGAACGCTGGTGGAGTTTGGGAGAAATAGACCTTGACATTTGGGAGTTGTAGCTGCTGGAATTTATAGTTCACCTGCAATCAAAGCACATTCTGAACCCCACCAATGATAGAATTGGGCCAAACTTCCCACAGAGAACAGAGGACAGAGAAGGAAAGGATGTCCAAAACTATGTACCGTTTTCTCGCTCTAGGATCAACAACGACCTATTGATGTGGGTGCCCTTCAGCCTGCCTCCCAGCCCCTCCGAGACGCCGTTGGGTTCTAGTTCGACGTCCTCCCCTTTGGCCAGCGAAGCGCCCTCCTGCATGCGATGGCAGGAAAACTTCAAGATGTGCAAGTCGGCCTTTAAGCTGGGTAATTCTTATTATTCTTGCTATCACTATTACTATGTTTATGTTTATTTATACCCTGCTTTTTCTCTCCACAAGGAGACTCAAAGCAGCTATGTATATATTATTAGTATTGGAATGTATTATTATTATTATTATTATTATTGTTATTATTATTATTTATTACTACTACTAGCTGTCCCCTGCCACGCGTTGCTGTGGCCCAGTCTGTATATATGTATTTCAGTGTGTATAAATATATGTGTTTATATGTGTGCGTATATTTGTGTATCTGTGCATATATGTGTGTGCGCATGTGCATATGTGTGTGTGTAGAGGTGTATATATTTGTGTGTTTATATGTGTATAAGTATATTGTGTATGTGTGTGTGCTTGTCTATATGCATATTTGTGTTTATATATGTGTGTATGTGTGCATGTGTATATTTGTGTGTGTATGTATGTATATATGTGTGTTTGTAGATGTGTATATATGTGTATATATATCTGTGTGTTTATATGTGTATAAGTATATTGTGTGTATGTGTGTGCTTGTCTATATGCATATTTGTGTTCCTATATGTGTGTATGTGTGCATGTGTATATTTGTGTGTGTATGTATGTATATATGTGTGTTTGTAGATGTGTATATATGTGTATATATATGTGTGTGTTTATATGTGTGTAAGTATATTGTGTATATGTGTGTGCTTGTCTATATGCATATTTGTATTTATATATGTGTGTATGTGTGCCTGTGTATATTTGTGTGTGCATGTATATATGTATATATGTGTGTTTATGCAGATGTATGTGTGTGTATATTTGTGTGTGCTTGGGTATATATATATATACGTATGTGTATGTATGTGTGCATGTGTTTATGTATATGAATGTGTGTGTGTGTGTGTATGGTGCATTTTTGGGGTTTTAAGTCTGTTCTGCTGGGGGTGTGTGTATTTTTAGGGGTGATGAACACTCGTTGGCCTGATAGGTGGATTGTGTCCAAATTTGGTGTCAATTCGTCCAGTGGTTTTTGAGTTATGCTAATCCCACAAACGAACATGACATTTTTATTTATATAGATAAGTAAAAAGCACTTTAAAGAAATAGGTAAATCCAATTAGGTAAGAAGATAAGCAGGAACATTGCAATGTTTTTTTTTCTTTTTTTGGCTTTTTACATTTTTATTTATATAGATTATTATTATTATTATTATTATTATTATTATTATTATTATTATTATTATTATTATTTTACTGACGCAAAAACGCAGGATGTCACAGCAAAGGAGAGCTTGGGAAAATGGCACTTCTCTTTTTGCCCTGTATTTCCAGATTCGGATTCAGAGGAAGAAGACTCCCACTTCTATTCGGTGGAAAAAAAGGGGGAGCAGCAGAGACCCTCCCCACAGAGCTGCGTCTCCGTCCTGCTGAGTGTCGGGAAGGGGAGGATCACGGCCCTCTGCAACGCCAAGGTAACTGCAGCCCCGGGGATGGTGGGAATGGGGAGTTGCTTCGGACTTCGGCCAATGTTTCCCAAGCTCTGGCCTTCCGCGACTTAAGCAACATATGCGGCAGGTACTGGCTTGTTCAGTAGACTCTCCTCTATAGTTCCATTTTGGTGGGAAGCCTTAGCATTGAACAGTTGTGTTGTTAAAATGCAAAGTATGGAACCCTGTGCAGATTGTTGGTCAATGCGACTTAAGCAATGTATGTGGCAGGTACTGGCTCGTTCAGTAGACTCTCCTCTACAGTTCCATTTTGTCGGGAAGTTTTAGCATCAAACGGTTGTGTTATTAAAGTGAGAAGTATAGAACCTTGCGCAGACAGTCGGCCAATGTGACTTAAGCAATGTATGCAGCAGGTACTGGCTTGTTCAGTAGACTCTCCTCTACAGTTACGTTTTGGTGGGAAGCCTTAGCATTGAACGGTTGTGTTGTTAAAGTGTGAAGTATAGACCCCTCTGCAGACGGTCAGGCAATGCAATTTAAGCAACGCATGTGGCAGGTACTGGCTTGTTCAGTAGACTCTCCTCTACAGTTCCATTTTGGTGGGAATCCTTAGCATTGAACGGTTGTGTTGTTAAAGTGCGAAGTATAGACCCCTCTGCAGACAGTCAGGCAATGCAATTTAAGCAACGCATGTGGCAGGTACTGGCTTGTTCAGTAGGCTCTCCTCTACAGTTCCATTTTGGCAGGAAGCCTTAGCATTGAATGGTTGTGTTGTTAAAGTGCGAAGTATAGACCCCTCTGCAGACGGCCAGTCAATGCAATTTAAGCAACGCATGTGGCAGGTACTGGCTTGTTCAGTAGACTCTCCTCTACAGTTCCATTTTGGTGGGAATCCTTAGCATTGAACGGTTGTGTTGTTAAAGTGCGAAGTATAGACCCCTCTGCAGACGGCCAGTCAATGCAACTTAAGCAATGTATGCGGCAGGTACTGGCTTGTTCAGTAGACTCTCCTCTACAGTTCCATTTTGGCAGGAAGCTTTAGCATCGAACGGTTGTGTTATTAAAGTGAAAAGTATAGAACCTTGCGCAGACGGTCGGTCAATGTGACTTAAGCAACGTATGCGGCAGGTACTGGCTCCTCCAGTAGACTCTCCTCTGCAGTTCCATTTGGGCAGGAAACCTTAGCATTGAACGGTTGTGTTGTTGAAGTGCAAAGTATAGAACCCTGCGCCGATTGTCGGTCAATGCGACTTAAGCAACGTATGCGGCATGGAAAAGTGGATAGTGATTGAGAGAACTGTGAGACGCTGTTTGCGGAAACAGAGTGTCAACTTCTTCCGCGACGGCTTCAGAAAACTTGTTCATCATTGGCAGAAATGTATCCGATTGTCTGGTGATTATGCGGAAAAGTAGATAGTGGTTGAGAGAACTGTGAGACGCTGTTTGCGGAAACAGTGTCGACTTTTTCCGCGACGGCTTCAGTAAAACTTGTTAATTGTTGGCAGAAATGTATCCAATTGTCTGGTGATTATGTCGAAAAGTGAATAGTGGTCGTTCAAGAGCGCATTCTAAGGATTATTTCTGTGTTTGGTTTATTAAAATATTCCCATCTAAACCCAAGTAACGAAGGTGGAGGCATTACTTTTCATTCAACCCTCGTATATCATCCCCTTCCTTCCTCCCTCCCTTCCGATCTCCTATTTCCTTTCTCTGCCACCTTCTTCCCTCCCTCCTTTGACGTGGGCCACCTTTTCCCCGCTGCAGGGCGAAGGGGGCAAGAAGCTGGAGGGCTCCCACGGCGAGCTGGTTTTGGACGTGGAGAACGGCTGCCTCTTCAGTGTCTCCCAGTACAAAGGCCGGGACGACCTCGGCTATTTCTGCATCGAAGCGGAGAAAGTTGCACTTTATCACAAAGGTGAGGATTTAGCCCACTAGCGGGGAGGAAAGTGGGGAGTGGGTTAGCCCCGAGCACTTTTGGCCAGAGCAAACCCTTCCCCTTGGATTTAGGGAAGAAGTAAAAGATTTAATGGTGGCAGCGTATATTTTAAAGAAGACATCCTTTCAGTGTTACCTTTCGATAGAATGTGCTGGATTCGCACTCAGGCCTGTGCACTAAGGTAACACTGAAAGGATTTCTTCTTTAAAATATACATTGCCACCATTAAATCTTTGACTTCCTCAATTAATTGCTTTTAAAACTTCTTACACAGAAGCACACGTGAGGCAGATGTTGTGAACAATAGAACAATGATGTTTATTTAAGAGAACTTTAGTTTTAAAACATAGCCCGTAAAGTCAATTTTTTTCCTATTCTAAGTTAAGCTCCGCCCATCCCTCCCAGCCAATCACTAACTCCTCTCATTTCCCTCCAATTACCTAAGCTCGCCCCCTTCAGGAAATGAGATTTTAAAATGGATGCTCCCGGCACCATTTCCCAGTGTAAACATTTCCAAGATCCCTGTGAATGTCCTCCACCAACACCATACTGCCCACCACCCATGTGAAGGCTTTCATACGGGGAACATTCCCTCCTAGTTTGTATGTGTTTCCATAGACATCCCAGTGTCAACATGTCCAAGAGCCTTGCCAGTGTCCTCCGCCACCATACTGCCCACCACCCATTGTCATACAGAAACAATTCCATCCTAAATTTTTAGTGTTTCCTCCACCACAGACATCCCAGTGTAAACATTTCCAAGAGCCCTGCCAATGTCCTCCACTAACACCACACTGCCCACTACCCATGTGAAGGATTTCATACGGGAAACATGCCCTCCTAGATTGCATGTGTTTCCTCCATTACAGACATCCCAGTTTAAACATGTCCAAGAGCCTTGCCAGTGTCTTTCGCCACCATACTGCCCACCACCCATGTGAAGGCTTTCATACAGAGACAATTCCATCCTAGATTGTTTGTGTTTCCTCCACCACAGACATCCCAGTGTCAACATGTCCAAGAGCCTTGCCAGCATCCTCCACCACCATACTGCCCACCACCCATGTGAAGGCTTTCATACAGAAACAATTCCATCCTATATTTTTAGTGTTTCCTCCACCACAGACATCCCAGTGTAAACATTTCCAAGAGCCCTGCCAATGTCCTCCACCAACACCACGCTGCCCACTACCCATGTGAAGGATTTCATATGGGGACAATTCCATTCTAGATTGTATGTGTTTCCTCCACCACAGACATCCCAGTTTAAACATGTCCAAGAGCCCTACCAATGCCCTCCACCAACACCACACTGCCCACTACTCAAGGGTAGGCTTTCCAAAATGGCCTAACAGGTAGGGAATCCACTACAAGTAGCGTAATAACCCGGGATGCTTACTCTGCGGTCCTTCCCTACAGCCGTTGTGGAGGACTACCTCATGGCTGAGCACTTGGAAATCCCCAGCTTCCTACCTCCCGAGGGGCTGCACCCCACCATTTACGCCTCCCAGGAAGGCACCGTTGCCTGGCCTTTGGGGAGCAAGAAGGAAGGCCCCCACAAAATGCTCTCCCTGGCCATCCAGATCAACCTGGACTTGGAGAAGAACATCAAGGTATCCCGTTAAGTTTTCACCAACTGTTGGGGATTGTGGGAGTTGAAGTCCAAAACGCCTGGAGGGCCGAAGTTGGCCCATGCTTGGCTTAAACCATGAGCTCAACATATACGCCTTCTCTTCCCGTCTTCTCCCTTGTTGTTTATTTATTTAGCATGCCAAAAGCAAATTGAGATGCCGACAAAGAAACAGTTAAAGCACAACAATTAACATAAACAAGTCAACAACAATAAAAAAATACATTAAGCTCGTTTTCCCTGTAATAGGCAGTAAGAGCACCGAAAGCTTCAGAGAGCTTCTGTTTGCCCATTTCCAATCTCCCTGCTTGGGTGGTGATGGCATGATCGTCAGCATAGATAGATTAGGAATCAGATGGTTTTCCTTGTAATAGGCAGTAAGAGCACCGAAAGCTTCAGAGAGCTTCTGTTTGCCCATTTCCAATCTCCCTGCTTGGGTGGTGATGGCATGATCGTCAGCATAGATAGATTAGGAATCAGATGGTTTTCCTTGTAATAGGCAGTAAGAGCACCTAAAGCTTCAGAGAGCTTCTGTTTGCCCATTTCCAATCTCCCTGCTTGGGTGGTGATGGCATGATCGTCAGCATAGATAGATTAGGAATCAGATGGTTTTCCTTGTAATAGGCAGTAAGAGCACCGAAAGCTTCAGAGAGCTTCTGTTTGCCCATTTCCAATCTCCCTGCTTGGGTGGTGATGGCATGATCGTCAGCATAGATAGATTAGGAATCAGATGGTTTTCCTTGTAATAGGCAGTAAGAGCACCGAAAGCTTCAGAGAGCTTCTGTTTGCCCATTTCCAATCTCCCTGCTTGGGTGGTGATGGCATGATCGTCAGCATAGATAGATTAGGAATCAGATGGTTTTCCTTGTAATAGGCAGTAAGAGCACCTAAAGCTTCAGAGAGCTTCTGTTTGCCCATTTCCAATCTCCCTGCTTGGGTGGTGATGGCATGATCGTCAGCATAGATAGATTAGGAATCAGATGGTTTTCCTTGTAATAGGCAGTAAGAGCACCTAAAGCTTCAGAGAGCTTCTCTTTGCCCATTTCCAATCTCCCTGCTTGGGTGGTGATGGCACGATCATCGGCATAGATGAAATTCTCCGTCCCTTCTAGGAGTGGCTGGTCATTTATGTAAATGTTCAACATTGTTGTGTCGATGCAACACAGGATTGGAAGGAACGCTAAGCTTTTTGCTTCTCTGTTGACAGGAGTTCTTGGTGACGTTGCGGCTAGAAGGCGCCACTATGCGGCATTACATGGCGTTGGCCCACCAGAGCTGGTATTCGCAGGTAAGAGCATGTCCAAGAGCCTTGCCAGCATCCTCCACCAACACCATACTGCCCACCACCCAAGGGAAGGCTTTTCTACAGGGAGAATTCCATCCTAAAGTTCATGTGTTTCCTCCACCACAGACATCCCAGTGTAAACATGTCCAAGATCCCTGCCAACATCCTCCACCAACACCACCCAAGGGAAGGCTTTCCTACAGGGACAATTCCATCCTAGAGTTCATGTTTCCTCCACCACAGACATCCCAGTGTCCAAGATCCCTGCCAACGTCCTCCATCAACACCATACTGCCCACCACCCAAGGGAAAGCTTTCCTACAGGGACAGTTCCATCCTAGAGTTCATGTGTTTCCTCCACCACAGACATCCCAGTGTAAAACTATCAAAGATCCCTGCCAGCATCCTCCACCAACACCATACTGCCCACCACCCAAGGGAAGGCTTTTCTACAGGGAGAATTCCATCCTAGAGTTCATGTGTTTCCTCCACCACAGACATCCCAGTGTAAAACTATCAAAGATCCCTGCCAACGTCCTCCATCAACACCATACTGCCTACCACCCAAGGGAAGACTTTCATACAGGGACAATTCCGTCTTAGAGTTCATGTGTTTCCTTCTCCACAGACATCCCAGTGTAAAACTATCAAAGATCCCTGCCAACGTCCTCCACCAACACCATACTGCCTACCACCCAAGGGAAGACTTTCATACAGGGACAATTCCGTCTTAGAGTTCATGTGTTTCCTTCTCCACAGACATCCCAGTGTAAAACTATCAAAGATCCCTGCCAACGTCCTCCACCAACACCATACTGCCTACCACCCAAGGGAAGGCTTTCCTACAGGGAGAATTCCATCCTAAAGTTCATGTGTTTCCTCCACCACAGACATCCCAGTGTAAACATGTCCAAGATCCCTGCCAACATCCTCCACCAACACCACCCAAGGGAAGGCTTTCCTACAGGGACAATTCCAACCTAGAGTTCATGTTTCCTCCACCACAGACATCCCAGTGTCAACATGTCCAAGATCCCTGCCAACGTCCTCCACCAACACCATACTGCCCACCACCCAAGGGAAGACTTTCATACAGGGACAATTCCGTCTTAGAGTTCATGTGTTTCCTCCTCCACAGACATCCCAGTGTAAAACTATCAAAGATCCCTGCCAACGTCCTCCACCAACACCATACTGCCTACCACCCAAGGGAAGGCTTTCCTACAGGGAGAATTCCATCCTAAAGTTCATGTGTTTCCTCCACCACAGACATCCCAGTGTAAACATGTCCAAGATCCCTGCCAACATCCTCCACCAACACCACCCAAGGGAAGGCTTTCCTACAGGGACAATTCCAACCTAGAGTTCATGTTTCCTCCACCACAGACATCCCAGTGTCAACATGTCCAAGATCCCTGCCAACGTCCTCCACCAACACCGTACTGCCCACCACCCAAGGGAAGGCTTTCCTACAGGGACAATTCCATCCTAGAGTTCATGTGTTTCCTCCACCACAGACATCCCAGTGTAAAACTATCCAAGATCCCTGCCAACACCGATGGATCTGGATCAGACCTGATATGCTGAAAATTGATTACTGGAGGAGTTTGGGAGGAACTGACCTTCCTTTCTGGGAGTTGTAGTTCACCCATTACCAGGGAAACTGTGATGTCCAACGGTGATGGACCTGGACCAAACTTGGCACACAAAACCCCCATGATGACTCAACCTACTGACTCACCATTGTGGGAGTTGTAGTTTACCCTGCAGCCAGAGAGTACACTGGACCCTACCAATGATGCATCCAGAGCAAACTTTCCCAACATAAACTTGAAGTACTGATGGAGTTTCAGGGGGGTCAGCCTGGCATGATGGGAGTTGTAGTTCACCCACAACCTTTTGCATTTTGTGCAATTCATAATTGACTTTTTCCAATCTTTTCCTCGTTAGATGATTGATTTCTTAGACGTCCTGGACGACCCAATCCTTGGCTTCGTGCCACCCACCATCATCACAGTCTTGCATACTCACCTCTTCAGCTGTGCCGTGGACTACAGGTACAGGGACGTGGGAGACTTGGTCCAATCCGTGGTCATTGAAGGGGAAGATCTGTTTAGTAGGCTTGGTTGATCCCCCACCCCAAAAAATGGTTCTCGTTTCGGATGTCGGGGGCGCTGGTGGTTCAATTCTAAAGTCAGTTCCGATTTTCACAGAAAAAAAAATATTCAAAACTTTTCAAAACTTCCAAGACTTCCGAATGCTTTTGTTAATGGTTTGAAAGTGTTATTTCCTGTTTCATTGGGTGATCTTTACTTTGAAAGTAGTAGTTTTACTCCAGAAGCAGGGGAAAAGCAAGCTGAGGAAATTCCTTCCTTCTCTGGTTTAAAACTGGCTTCTCTGGCTTGAGCTGAGGCCAGGAGATTCCTTCCTTCTCTGGTTTAAAGCTGGCTTCTCTGGCTTCAAAACTGGCTTCTCTGGCTTGATCCGAGGCCAGGAAATTCCTTCCTTCTCTGGTTTAAAGCTGGCTTCTCTGGCTTCAAAACTGGCTTCTCTGGCTTGATCCGAGGCCAGGAAATTCCTTCCTTCTCTGGTTTAAAGCTGGCTTCTCTGGCTTCAAAACTGGCTTCTCTGGCTTGATCCGAGGCCAGGAAATTCCTTCCTTCTCTGGTTTAAAGCTGGCTTCTCTGGCTTCAAAACTGGCTTCTCTGGCTTGATCCGAGGCCAGGAAATTCCTTCCTTCTGTGGTTTAAAGCTGGCTTCTCTGGCTTCAAAACTGGCTTCTCTGGCTTGATCTGAGGCCAGGAAATTCCTTCCTTCTCTGGTTTAAAGCTGGCTTCTCTGGCTTTGAAACTGGCTTCTCTGGCTTGAGCCGAGGCCAGGAAATTCCTTCCTTCTCTGGTTTAAAACTGGCTTCTCTGGCTTTAAAACTGGCTTCTCTGGCTTGAGCCAGGCTAGGAAATTCCTTCCTTCTCTGGTTTAAAACTGGCTTCTCTGGCTTTGAAACTGGCTTCTCTGGCTTGAGCTGAGGCCAGGAAATTCCTTCCTTCTCTGGTTTAAAACTGGCTTCTCTGGCTTTAAAACTGGCTTCTCTGGCTTGAGTCGAGGCCAGGAAATTCCTTCCTTCTCTGGTTTAAAACTGGCTTCTCTGGCTTTAAAACTGGCTTCTCTGGCTTGAGCTGAGGCCAGGAAATTCCTTCCTTCTCTGGTTTAAAACTGGCTTCTCTGGCTTGAGTCAAGGCCAGGGACCAGAAGCGGGGAAAAAAGCTGGCTTCTCTGGCTTGAGCCAGCAGGAAATTCCTTCTCTGGTTTAAAACTGGCTTCTCTGGCTTTAAAACTGGCTTCTCTGGCTTGAGCCGAGGCCAGGAAATTCCTTCCTTCTCTGGTTTAAAACTGGCTTCTCTGGCTTTAAAACTGGCTTCTCTGGCTTGAGCCGAGGCCAGGAAATTCCTTCCTTCTCTGGTTTAAAACTGGCTTCTCTGGCTTTAAAACTGGCTTCTCTGGCTTTAAAACTGGCTTCTCTGGCTTGAGCCGAGGCCAGGAAATTCCTTCCTTCTCTGGTTTAAAACTGGCTTCTCTGGCTTTAAAACTGGCTTCTCTGGCTTGAACCTAGGCCAGGAAATCCCTTCCTTCTCTGGTTTAAACCTGGCTTCTCTAGCTTTAAAACTGGCTTCTCTGGCTTGAGCTGAGGCCAGGAACCAGAAGCGGGGAAAAGCAAGTGGAGGAAATTCTTTCCTTTCTCTGGCTTTAAAACTGGCTTCTCTGGCTTGAGCCGAGGCCAAGGACCAGAAGCGGGGAAAGGCAAATGGATGAAATTCCTTCCTTCTCTGGTTTAAAATAGGCTTCTCTGGCTTTAAAACTGGCTTCTCTGGCTTGAGCCGAGGCCAGGAAATTCCTTCCTTTTCTGGTTTAAAACTGGCTTCTCTGGCTTGAGCCGAGGCCAGGAAATTCCTTCCTTCTCTGGTTTAAAACTGGCTTCTCTGGCTTGAGCTGAGGCCAGGAAATTCCTTCCTTCTGTGGTTTAAAACTGGCTTCTCTGGCTTGAGCCAAGACCAAGAAATTCCTTCCTTCTCTGGTTTAAAACTGGCTTCCCGACTTGAGCCAAGACCAAGAAATTCCTTCCTTCTCTGGTTTAAAACTGGCTTCTCTGGCTTGAGCTGAGGCCAGGAAATTCCTTCCTTCTCTGGTTTAAAACTGGCTTCTCTGGCTTGAGCGAGGCCAGGAAATTCCTTCCTTCTCTGGTTTAAAACTGGCTTCTCTGGCTTGAGCTGAGGCCAGGAAATTCCTTCCTGCTCTGGTTTAAAACTGGCTTCTCTGGCTTGAGCCGAGGCCAGGAAATTCCTTCCTTCTCTGGTTTAAAACTGGCTTCTCTGGCTTGAGCCAAGGCCAGGAAATTCCTTCCTTCTCTGGTTTAAAACTGGCTTCTCTGGCTTGAGCTGAGGCCAGGAAATTCCTTCCTTCTCTGGTTTAAAACTAGCTTCTCTGGCTTGAGCTGAGGCCAGGAAATTCCTTCCTTCTCTGGTTTAAAACTGGCTTCTCTGGCTTGAGCTGAGGCCAGGAAATTCCTTCCTTCTCTGGTTTAAAACTGGCTTCTCTGGCTTGAGCCGAGGCCATGAAATTCCTTCCTTCTCTGGTTTAAAACTGGCTTCTCTGGCTTGAGCCAAGACCAAGAAATTCCTTCCTTCTCTGGTTTAAAACTGGCTTCTCTGGCTTGAGCTGAGGCCAGAGACCTGAAGAGATGGGGAAAGCAAGCAGAGGAAATTCCTTCTGTGGTTTAAAACTGGCTTCTCTGGCTTGAGCTGAGGCCAGAGACCTGAAGAGATGGGGAAAGCAAGCAGAGGAAATTCCTTCTGTGGTTTAAAACTGGCTTCTCTGGCTTGAGCCGAGGCCAGAGACCTGAAGAGATGGGGAAAGCAAGCAGAGGAAATTCCTTCCTTCTCTGGTTTAAAACTGGCTTCTCTGGCTTGAGCCAAGACCAAGAAATTCCTTCCTTCTCTGGTTTAAAACTGGCTTCTCTGGCTTGAGCTGAGGCCAGAGACCTGAAGAGATGGGGAAAGCAAGCAGAGGAAATTCCTTCTGTGGTTTAAAACTGGCTTCTCTGGCTTGAGCTGAGGCCAGAGACCTGAAGAGATGGGGAAAGCAAGCAGAGGAAATTCCTTCTGTGGTTTAAAACTGGCTTCTCTGGCTTGAGCTGAGGCCAGAGACCTGAAGAGATGGGGAAAGCAAGCAGAGGAAATTCCTTCTGTGGTTTAAAACTGGCTTCTCTGGCTTGAGCTGAGGCCAGAGACCTGAAGAGATGGGGAAAGCAAGCAGAGGAAATTCCTTCTGTGGTTTAAAACTGGCTTCTCTGGCTTGAGCCGAGGCCAGGCACCAGAAGAGGGGGGAAAGCAAGCGGAGGAAATTCCTTCCTTCTCTGGTTTAAAACTGGCTTCTCCGGCTTGAGCTGAGGCCAGGGACCAGAAGTGGGAAAAAACGGAATAATTTCCGTCTCACTTCATGAGTCGTAACAAAAATGGCGGAAAAAGCTTCGGAAGGGCAAAGGGACTTCCGGTTTTCTTAAAAATTTCAAAATCACTTTGAAAAGGCAATTTTTCCGACTTTATTCCAAATTACGAAGATTCCGACGGTATCTAACCATGCCTACCGTTTAGATATAAGCCCATCATACGGTAAATCTGAGGGACCGGTAAATGGCCAGCGGTAACAAAGTTCCGTGTGTTTTGCTGTTACGCTATTACGCTTCCTAGAGTTGCATCTTTTCTGTCGGCAGGCCTCTCTACTTGCCCATCCGCGTCCTCATCACCGCCGAGACCTTCACCCTCTCTAGCAACATCATTGTGGACACCTCGGTCTTCCTCCTCCGGTGAGTCCATCCTTCCTGGAGATTTCTTGGGAGAGTTACACAATTGCGAGAGTTTGGCAATTAAGAGCAATTGCTGCACGTTGGGATTGGTGATAATGCAAAAAGAGCTGGAAATTGGCTTGAACAGAGAGCCTGCGTTTCCAACGTCTGCTCGATGAGAAGTAGAAAGGATGCTAACCAGCCCTTTTGCTCCGGTTCTAGGTTCATTCTGGACGACTCTGCCCTATACCTCTCAAATAAATGTGACGCCGAGACCGGGGATTTGAGGAAAGGTAATTCTGCTTAAGGAGGAGCTCCCCTTCATTTGCAAGTTTTGTTTTACTCAGTTTCAATCCAGATTTGTGTTGTCTGGACCATCAAGCACAGAACCACATGGGGGAAGTAGCCCTAGGTAGAAAGCGGCCACACCCATCCCATTCATCGGAGGGTGAGAAGTACATCCCGGGACATGGGAATGAGCCAAGCACAAACTCTGATGCCAAACTTGAATGTTTTCTTCTCATGGTTTCAGACTACATTTGCGTTGTGGACGTGGACCTCTTGGAGTTAGTGATCACCACTTGGAAGGGGGCCACCACCGAGAAGCTGGTGAGTTCTTTGTGGGATGGTCAGCCATGGTCCTGTATACAACATCTCCTCCTTGTCCCTCCAGTGGAAGAGTCACGAGGGCTCTTCTTCCATGGAGAAGCTCTAGATTGCATTGCTGAGAGTTTTTCAGGCTGTATGACCGGGCTTCAGTAGCATTCTCTCCTGACTTCGTTTTTTGTCTCTGAGTGCATATTTTAAACTTAGAGGTTTTGAGAAGTGCAATTGCAACTTCAACTCCAGCAAAACATGTTAAAAAACTCTGCTAGCCAAATGTGTGTTATTTTGTGCACTGGCATGCCTTTGTCCCTGGCAGTTCAAAGACATGGTTTATCAGTTTAACAGCTAAGTTACCTGTGTGCCATTACATGAATGCTTGTGGACATCACTTTTGTCTGTAGACCTTCCCACACCAAACTGGCAAATCAATATAAGCATACAATACAAGTTAGCAAATGTATGTATTAACAAACAAATATTGAAGGCTTGGAAAGTTGCTATTTCCAACAGCTAGTGAGCTTGAATTGCATGAGTATCAACATAGAGGTAGCCTGGGCTTTGTTGCCTGGAGGCACCCTCTGTTTGGGGAGTGTTAACTGGCACTTGATTGTTTGCTGTCTGGAGTTTCCCTGTGTTTGAGTGGGGTTTGTGATTTACTGTCTTGATTCTGGTTTTTTTTAATACGGGTAACCAGATTTTGTAGGATGATACAAACAAGGACAAATAGGGCGAGAGAGTGTTTTTATTCTAGAGCCGTGACTATATTGAACTGTGTGGTTTCACACTGATGTGGCATTATGGCTTATTTAGGTTAGTAGTTAGTGTGTGAGTAGAAGGGGTGAGAGAACCCTAATAAGAATCTTTACTGCAACAGAAATAAGGAAAGAACAAGCTTGTACCTGAAGTAATCTGTTAAAGAAAGAAACCTATTTCGAAGGAAAATAAGTTAAAACCTGTGTAGTAGAAGGAACAGTTCTCTCAAGAATCATAGAATCCAAGAGTTGGAAGAGACCTCATGGGCCATCCAGTCCAACCCCATTCTGCCAAGAAGCAGGAATATTGCATTCAAATCACCCCTGATAGATGGCCATCCAGCCTCTGTTTAAAAGCTTCCAAAGAAGGAGCCTCCACCACACTCCGGGGCAGAGAGTTCCACTGCTGAACGGTTCTCACAGTCAGGAAGTTCTTCCTCATGTTCAGATGGAATCTCCTTTCTTGTAGTTTGAAGCCATTGTTCCGCGTCCTAGTCTCCAAGGAAGCAGAAAACAAGCTTGCTCCCTCCTCCCTGTGGCTTCCTCTCACATATTTATACATGGCTATCATATCTCCTCTCAGCCTTCTCTTCTTCAGGCTAAACATGACCAGTTCCCTAAGCCGCTCCTCATAGGGCTTGTTCTCCAGACCCTTGATCATTTTAGTCGCCCTCCTCTGGACACATTCCAGCTTGTCAATATCTCTCTTGAATTGTGGTGCCCAGAATTGGACACAATATTCCAGGTGTGGTCTAACCAAAGCAGAATAGATGGGTAGCATGACTTCCTTAGATCTAGACACTATGCTCCTATTGATGCAGGCCAAAATCCCATTGGCTTTTTTTGCCGCCACATCACATTGTTGGCTCATGTTTAACTTGTTGTCCACGAGGACTCCAAGATCTTTTTCACACGTACTGCTCTCGAGCCAGGCATTGTCCCCCATTCTGTATCTTTGCATTTCATTTTTTCTGCCAAAGTGGAGTATCTTGCATTTGTCACTGTTGAACTTCATTTTGTTAGTTTTGGCCCATCTCTCTAATCTGTCAAGATCGTTTTGAATTTCTGCTCCTGTCCTCTGGAGTATTGGCTATCCCTCCCAATTTGGTGTTGTCTGCAAACTTGATGATCCTGCCTTCTAGCCCTTCATCTAAGTCATTAATAAAGATGTTGAACAGGACCGGGCCCAGGACGGAACCCTGAGGCACTCCACTCGTCACTTCTTTCCAAGATGAAGAGGAAGCATTAGTGAGCACCCTCTGGGTTCGTCCATTTAACCAATTACAGATCCAACTCACCGTAGTTTTGCCTAGCCCACATTGGACTAGTTTCCTTGCCAGAAGGTCATGGGGGACCTTGTCGAAGGCCTTACTGAAATCCAGGTACGCTACATCCACGGCATTCCCCGCATCTACCCAGCTTGTAGCTCTATCGAAAAAGAGATCAGATTAGTCTGGCATGACTTGTTTTTGATAAATCCATGTTGACTATTAGCGATGACTGCATTTGTTTCTAAGTGTTTGCAGACCACTTCCTTAACAATCTTTTCAGAATCTTGCCTGGTATCGTGAGGCTTACGGGAGTTGTCTTAAGAGTTGTTTTATGAAATGTATTAAATGTAACCTCTGAAGAAATGTGCCTCTAAGAGCTAAGAAACATTGAAACCATCAAGCTTCTTCTATACTTCACAAAACTTGTTACAGTTTCTTCTAAACCCAAGTCTCTGTTACAAATACTTTCAAGTTAAGCCACGCTACACACTGAAGAAAGACCAAACCAATATTACAAGCTATTAGTTGTGTTATCAATTTAGTAAGCTCTTACAAAGTGGCGGCTCCTTTATAAAACATTTACAAATTGGTGGCATCGTTACAAATTGGTGGCCTCTTGACACTGGGGATGGCATTTAATTTCATTGTATGATGTATAGTGACAATAATGTTAGTCTCAATATTAAGTGATTGGAAGGAAGAAAGATACAAAGACCACCAAAGACTAGATAGAAGTCAACAACACCTTTTTATTTTTATTTTTCATTTTCCCCTTTTTTCATTTTTCTTCTTCTTTCTCTATTTTTCTCTTCCTTTCTTTCTTTACTACTTAAAAAAAAGAAAATGTTCTCCCACTTTCGATGTAAAATAATTTTCTTATTTTCTTTTTAAATTTTATCAATAAAAATCAATTCAATAATAATAATAATAATAATAATGGTATTCTATCCTTTTCTATTCTAGACCCGACCACTCTTTGAGCTACGCTGCTCCAACAATGTAGTGCACGTCCACACGTGTGCGGACTCCTGCGCAGCTCTGGCCAACCTTATCCAATACGTTGTGAACAATGGCGATTTGCACCCGCCGCCCCGGCATGACAGCCCTACTGAGATCGCAGGCCAGAAGGTGCAGGTGAGTGCATAGAGCAGAGAGGAAGAACTAGTCAGTTTACAATGAAATGTCCTTGTCTGGGAGTGTTGCACTCCAGGACAGGAAAAGCCCTCTGACTTTAAACACCACACCATTGAATTAGAAAAAACAATAATTTTATTGAAGATAATTAAAAAGCAGCAAAGTAGAAAGCACTTTAAAGAAATAAGTAAGTCCAATTAGGTAAGAAGATAAGCAGGAACAAAATAGTCCAGGGTAAAGTGCAGCAAAAAAGCAGCAAAGTAG